AAATTTGATGGTCGGGTGCAATTCAGAATTATAAATTTTACCTTAAAAATATCTATGTACATTAAAAACTATTCAAATTTTGAAATATATGTTTTCCTTATATACTATTTTATAAACAAAAAAAAAAAGGATAATAAAATAGCAATGTATAATAGTTTAAATTATTGCACTTGGTAATTAGGAAATATATAATGTATCTAAATATTCGAATAGATACTCTGTAACTCATTATATAGATTGAAAAAATAAATTAAAAATAATTGAATATAAATAAAAAATAAAAACACGAAAATAAAATATTTAACCATTAAAAATTTGTGTGTTGCATAAGGATTAATGTTACTAAAAAATTAAAAGTTTATCAATCCAAGCTTTTAACATTTAATGCACTTAATAATTGTAGTAAAAGATAAATATTATGGGTTAAACTTGGTTAATTATTACGCAATGTGCAAATTATGAATTGTTGAAAATATTACAAGACTATGATAAACGACAATTTTATATATACATACAATTAATTTGTACGCAAATATCATATAATCTTATACAGTTAAAATATTTATAAACTTGTAAATAATAAAATTTATATATTAAATAGTCAAAATATACAATATATGTATAATAACAATAATATTAAATAAATAAATTTCATATTATTACTGGATAGAGGATTTTGGAAAATATATTTTCATATTGTCTTAAATAATTTTATAATATTTAAATAATTTTTTTTATAATGTACCCCGTGCATTGCACGGGTATCAACACTAGTTTCGTTAATATCCAAGTTAATATTGACCCGCAAATTATGAATATTTTTTTTAATTTTAAATAAAAATTATATTCCAACATTTAATTTTTAATAATATTTTTATTTTTTTCAGTATATTATATTCCAAATTTAAACATAGCTGCAAGTTTTGTGAATATATTATATTTCTAAATTAAAGTCATGCAACTAATAAATGTAATAATCGCAATATTTGACCAAAATGATTTTATACATTAATTACATTAATTTAGGCGAAATTTTTTAAATGTTGGCCAAAAATATTACTCAACATAGAAAATACTTTAGGCGGTAATCAAATTATTTTTTAGTTGATTTTTAGTTGCTATTTCTACAAATATCATTGCCTCTTTAAATATTAATAGATTTTAAATAAAAAATAATCGTGGCTACATAGTTGTCTATCATAAACACACAATTCATCAATAATCTTTTCCTGGTTCTCTGAGGTGGGGACTTGTTCGTTGCGCGCCGGGTTCGTGGTGGGTGGCTTCAAGGAGGTAAGTGGTTGTGGTTGCGATTGGGTGCGACCCAGGTGGCTTGGCTCGTTTGAGTCGCTGTGGCCAGGGTTGGGGTGGGTTGGTTCGTGTCCCTGTGTTCTCTTCGCTGGTTGCGTGGAGCTGGAAGCCCGACAGACCCGATTTCTGACTAGTGTTTCTGGTCGGGTCTTGGGAGGCGGGTCTTTGGGTTGGGGCCGTTCGATCCTCCCGGGCTTTGAGTCGGCTACATCCTTGGAGTGATTCGAGACTTGGGACTCATCCTTTGCTAGGCTTTAGGCAGTGGCGGGAGTGGTGTTCCGGCTTTCGCATCAAGCTACAGGGTGTTCGGTCCTGATTCCGTTGGTGCCTTGTGATGGGTTCGGGTATCTCGTTGGGGAAGGGTTATGTGTGTCTTTTGAGTAGGTTTTCATTTTGGATGTTCTCTTTGTTTGTGTTTTTGGTTTGGGAAGTTAGCCTCTGTGCACCTGAGTGTCACTCTGTACGCCCGAGTGTCACCTTATTACCCTGTTGGGGTCCGACACTCGAGTATTACTCTGTTGGGGTCCGACACTCAGGTAGTAGTTTTAGTTGTTTGTGTTGTTGACTAGTTTAGTTGCAAGTGTTTTTTATTCTAGCGTTCCTAGCGGGGTTTCTAGACGGTCTTCTGACCTGTCCTCCCACTTTTTCAGCCGTTGGCTGATGTGTATTCGCACATTTGTGGATTTTGATTTATAATATTATCTATCGTTTTGGGAAAACAAAAATCAATAATCTTTTCTTTATATATTTATACTAGTACGTAGCCCGTGTGATGCAACGATCGATATGTTCAATGACATTTTCATAGAGACTGTGCTTTTAGGTCTGAAAAAGTTGAATCATCTATTTTTTTACCTCTTTTAATCAACATTATTTTTTAGTCATAACGTTAAACGTGAGACCATTAGCCCTAATCTGTAAATTAACTATTATATTATCTAGATAAAATATTTATACTAATATAAATTTGATTTTACTATATATATTTATTCTTAGATATAAGGAAAATAACAGTTTTACATATTCTTGTTCACCATATAACCTTTGATTAATTATTTTATTATAAAATTTATTGTCATATAATGTCATTATAGTTTTCTTAAGTTAGAGAAGTAGTCTTTTTCTTCTTTTGATTTTATACTAGTTGTTACCCGGTGCATTTGCACGGAAAACGATATGATAAAAATAAAATAATAAAAAATATAAACAATAGTAAAATATATAAAATAATCATTGAAAAAAAAGTTTTAAGAAAGAAAATTCAAATATAATTAGACACTTTTTTATATACAACGTCAATAATTTTTCGAAGCCCAACCTGATTTCTTGATGTAGTCCAATAAAAAAATTTAGTAAGAAAAGATTATAAATAAGACACAACCCATTATTTTTCTTATAACATAAGCTCAAACATTCACATCCCATTGTCTTATTAACAAAGCCCAGACAAAATCAAACAATAAATTCTTTTTCGGGCCACAAATGGGTCAAATAAAGTTGATTTCGTTTGAATCCAAGTAGTATCAAGGCTGATGTTTTT